CCCTTCAGGGTGGGGGTCCCCACTGGGGTGCCTGGCCAGTCTGGGTGAGGGGCTGAGGGCTGTTTTCAGGCTGGCGGGTGACTGAAGCTCCCAACCCCTCCTTTTTTTCTTTTTTTTTTTTTTTTTATTCTGGGCCAGCTTTAGCTTGAGGCTTGGCTCCAGCTCTTAGGCCTCCGAGGTTGAAAGTAGGTTTCTGGCCTTGGCATACAATGTTGCGAATCTGCTGGCTGAAGTCCGGCCTTATTTGTTAAAATGTTTCAAACTGCAGGCTCAGAGGCCTCTAGCGGCAGGCGGGAAACATTGGAGTCCTCAGTCACTGAAGCAAGCAAGCCTCATGTTAGTTTCAACCTGCCTGGCTGCGGGTCGCCATCTTGGCTGACAGTTAATTTGCATATCTTGCTGATTAGCCAATGAAAAGGGTAGTGGTCGTACGCTAATTACCGTGTTTCTCTTTTATTAGTGTAGATTAAAGTCAGGTTAACTATTGATTAAGTGACTTGTCTCTGATTTTTAACAATCTGATATGGCCTTAAATAGCAACTTGGATCAGAAAGAGCATGCATCACGTTCGTAAACTGGATCTTCCTTACAGACTACACTCTCAACCTTTGAGTGTAATGTTTATGATGTTTATTCATTGAATAAATAGCTCCATGAGTACAGGGACTGCCTGCACTTCCTTTGTATCTCATCTGGTACAGTGAATGAGATATGATAGCTGCTCACTAAATATTTGCTGATGTGATAAACAGTATCTGATGTGTACTTTAGACATGGAAAGAGGTAAAATGTGGTACCTGTCTTCAAGCAGCTTCCAGTCCCGTAGAAAAGAGTTGCACGTGGATAGCTCTGTATGAAGCTTAATGTGTCATGTGGAAGATAAAAATGGTACTGTGGAATTTCATGACACAAGAGACCAATTTGAACAAGAGTATATGTAGATTCATGTAATAATAGCTAATTGAATATAATATACTTTTTACAAATCAGTTTAAAAATTATGTCCATATGCCAGAATGCTGTAAGTTGTTGGGGTGTGTGTTTTGTTTTTTTAATAGATATTTTTTCATATTGGAAAAGTGTATGATGCCCAGAAGAGTTGTTAGAGGATTAGAATTCTTATGATTTACTGTAGATTCACCTTTTAGGACAGGCATGCTGGTGTTAAGAATAGTACCTTTTAAAGCAGCGGTCGCCAACCTTTCGGACCTCATGGACCACCAGTGGTCTGTGGACCACCGGTTGACAACCGCTGTTTGTTGTTGTTGTTGTTGTTTTTAAGAGACTGCGAACTCCATATTTTATTGATTTTTTACAGAGAGAGAGGGAGAGGGATAGAGAGTTAGAAACATCGACCAGCTGCCTCCTGCACACCTCCTACTGGGGATGTGCCCGAGAGGAAGGGAGAGGGAGAGAGAGAAATAGAAACATCAATGATGAGAGAGAATCATTGATTGGCTGCCTCCTGCATGCCCCCACTGTGGATTGAGCCCGCAACCCCCGAGCATGTGCCCTTGACCGGAATTGAACCTGGGACCCCTTCAGTCCGCAGGCCGATGCTCTATCCACTGAGCCAAACCGGTTTGGCGACAACCGCTGTTTTAAAGAGTTCTGAGGACAACAAACTTGGTGTTGTGGAGGATGGCCTAAAGCAGTGGTCGCAAACTCATTAGTCAACAGAGCCAAATATCAACAGTACAACGATTGAAATTTCTTTTGAGAGCCAAATTTTTTAAACTTAAACTATATGGGTAGGTACATTGTTATTAACTTAATTAGGGTACTCCTAAGGCTTAGGAAGAGCCGCAATCAAGGGGCCAAAGAGCCGCATGTGGCTTACAAGCCGCAGTTTGCCAACCACGAGCCTAACGAAACCGTGTTGCTCGATACAAATAATTTGCAG